TTTGGAGAACATGTCCCCTTGTTAAAATTGTTACGCCCATTTCAAACAGGTTAGCGGTGACTTTGATAATTTATACTGTTAATGCCTTTATAAGTGTTGATCTTCAGAAGTCCCTGTTGTGATAAGTTTGGCATACGTGCGATTGGAGTTCAGAGTATTATACATATGTACATGTATAACATGTCATGTTATATTTACTCGCTCTCCTCAAATTTGGTTGTTCCTAGGCCAATCATTCATAAAATATCACATACTCAATTTTTGTTGTAGAAAATCCTGAAATCGCGTATCTCTGTAGACATTTCCGATTGTGATTTTGATATCAGACTTTGTCAGAGTTGATCAAAATTCTGTCGATGTTTATACTGAATAAAACGTTGAAGTCTTTTGTGTGATATGTTTAATTATGCAGTGTAAATTTACTTGATTTACACCAAGACGTATAAATGTAACATGTACGGAAAGTTTGTGTCTACGGCTAACTATAATCTTCGAAGATACGTCATGTAAACCAAACTATACTTTAACTATTTGAACGTACCTAACGAATCGTGCAATACACTGATCCATGGGCTCAACCATCTTTCGTTAACGGTTGTAAAATGCCGTTTTTTCAAAGACATTTCCGCTGTACATATTCTTCAAAGCCTCCTCTATCAAGCACAGGTAAATTACGGTGAGCGTAAGTGAGACCACAAGGCATGGATCGCTTTACTTGTAATATAAAAAATAGGGTCTCCTATACTAATATATACATTAGTATAGGAGACCCCCCTGTCAGCATCCTTCCTTATATCTCAAAACTATTTGAAAAAGCTATTAGTCGACAACTTTCTGAATGTTTTGAAAATGTATTCCATCCATTACTAGGTGCTTTCAGACCTGGTTTTGGATGCCAAGCGACCCTGTTGAGATTGGTGGAGGATTGGCGCTTGGCCCCGGATCGCCATGAGTGTGCTGCTGTCATACTTATGGACTTATCCAAGGCCTTTGACTGCCTCCCCAATCTGCTGCTCAGGAAGCTGGAAGCATATGGGTTAGACAGTGAGGCAGTGAGCCTGATGTCCAGCTACCTGAGCAGCAGGTGAAACTGGCTTCAAATTGCAGCACCTCGTCAGGTATTCTTAAAGGGGTTCCCAGGGATCAATCCTGGGCCCCTTCTTTTCAACATATTTATAAATGATATTTTTGATTGTGTTGAAGATTCATCTCTCTACAACTATGCAGATGATAACACTATAGGTTACACCCATACAGACTCTACTGTTTTAAAATCCACTTTGTACTCATGTTGTTGATTGGTTTAGTAAAAATGATATGAAAGCCAATACTGAAAAGTTTCAGGCAATCAGCATTGGAAAACGATATTTGATAAAATAAAATCTTTTGATATTGGAGGTGTATCTCTTAATTGTGAAAAAAATGTCAAATTACTAGGTGTAAATTTTGATTACTTATTGAACTTTGACTATCACATCTCAGAGCTCTGTAAAAAAGCCTCCAGACAATTGTCTGTACTGAAAAGGAAAGGTAAATTTTTGTCTAGGGAAGGGAGACAAATTATTTACAACTCATTCCTTCTTTAAAGTTTTAATTATTGCCCTCTTGTTTGGCATTTCTGTTCCCTAAAAAGTGTACGGAAAATGGAAATAAAATCAAGAAAGATCACTACGTTTTGTATATAGTGACTTTTCGTCTTCCTTTGAACTTTTAGTCCAAAAATCAAACTCTGATTTACTACATATAAGACGTTTAAGAGACATGGCGTGTGAAGTCTATAAAATAGTTAAGAAAATCTCTCCACTCTTTATTCATGATATGATTGAAATAAAGGTAACTAATTATAATTGCAGACAAGAGAATACAGCTGTATTACCTAAGGTTAACACTACAAGGTATGGACTCAAATCTTTCTCCTACGAGGCCGCCCGGGTGTGGAACAGTCTCCCCATATGTATGCCTTTGTTATCCGCCATGTTTATATGAATATGATACATATTGACCTCTTGTTACAAATATGATACATATTGACCTCTTGTTACAAATATGATACATATTGACCTCTTGTTACATATTTTGTATGTCTGAGAGAAATAAAAATCTGAAACCCAATCAACTCAGAAAAAAAGACAGGTACAATGAATTTAGGAGACTGATCCAGACCTAGGATGGCCCCATTTGCTCTTGTAATGTCTGCCGCAGTGTGTAGTACATGTACATGTGGCTAGTTCGCTTTGCTTCATGTTTAATTATGTGTGTGTTTTATGCTGCTTCTTCGGATTTGTGCGAATGTTTGCTCTTATTATTATTTTATTCATTTCATTTATTTTATTACTATGTTCCGTTTGTTTTACATGTTGTAAATGTGTTTTATATATAGTGCTGACAGTGGAAAATTGTAGCTCATAATGTCTTTTTTATTCTTGAGTATTCTCCCCTGTATATAGATAATGAAGCAAGGTAAAGGAGTTTTTCTTGTTAAAATAACTTCCCTTTTAACTTTTCCGTATGCGTTTTGGCACCAAATTGGACATTCATTATGATGCTGCGTTTTTATAATTCCTATATGACAAAATTGGTAGCGTAGGCCTTGTAATGTAACGGTTCTTAGCTCGACCTTGAAATGTAACGGTTCTTAGCTCGACCTTGTAATGTAACGGTTCTTAGCTCGACCTTGTAATGTAAAGGTTCTTAGTTCGACCTTGTAATGTAAAGGTTCTTAGTTCGACGTTGTAATGTAACAGTTCTTAGCTCGACCTTGTAATGTAAAGGTTCTTAGCTCCACCTTGTAATGTAACGGCTCTTAGTTCGACCTTGTAATGTAACGGTTCTTAGTTCGACCTTGTCATGTAAAGGTTCTTAGTTCGACCTTGTAATGTAAAGGTTCTTAGCTCGACCTTGTAATGTAACGGTTCTTAGTTTGACCTTGTAATGTAACGGTTCTTAGCTCGACCTTGTAATGTAAAGGTTCTTAGTTCGACCTTGTAATGTAACGGTTCTTAGTTCGACCTTGTAATGTAAAGGTTCTTAGTTCGACGTTGTAATGTAACGGTTCTTAGCTCGACCTTGTCATGTAAAGGTTCTTAGCTCGACCTTGTAATGTAACGGTTCTTAGCTCGACCTTGTAATGTAACGGTTCTTAGTTCGACCTTGTAATGTAAAGGTTCTTAGTTCGACCTTGTAATGTAACGGTTCTTAGCTCGACCTTGTAATGTAAAGGTTCTTAGTTCGACCTTGTAATGTAACGGTTCTTAGTTCGACCTTGTAATGTAAAGGTTCTTAGTTCGACCTTGTAATGTAAAGGTTCTTAGTTCGACCTTGTAATGTAAAGGTTCTTAGTTCGACCTTGTAATGTAAAGGTTCTTAGTTCGACCTTGTAATGTAAAGGTTCTTAGTTCGACCTTATAATGTAAAGGTTCTTAGTTTGACCCTGTAATGCAAAGGTTCTTAGTTCGACCTTGTAATGTAACGGTTCTTAGTTCGAACTTGTCATGTAAAGGTTCTTAGTTCGACCTTGTAATGCAAAGGTTCTTAGTTCGACCTTGTAATGTAAAGGTTCTTACTTCGACGTTGTAATGTAACGGTTCTTAGCTCGACCTTGTAATGTAACGGTTCTTAGTTCGACCTTGTAATGTAAAGGCTCTTAGTTCGACGTTGTAATGTAACAGTTCTTAGCACGACCTTGTAATGTAAAGGTTCTTAGTTCGACGTTGTAATGTAACAGTTCTTAGCTCGACCTTGTAATGTAAAGGTTCTTAGCTCCACCTTGTAATGTAACGGCTCTTAGTTCGACCTTGTAATGTAACGGTTCTTAGTTCGACCTTGTCATGTAAAGGTTCTTAGTTCGACCTTGTAATGTAAAGGTTCTTAGTTCGACCTTGTAATGTAAAGGTTCTTAGTTCGACCTTGTAATGTAACGGTTCTTAGTTCGACATTGTAATGTAAAGGTTCTTAGTTCGACCTTGTAATGTAAAGGTTCTTAGTTCGACCTTGTAATGTAAAGGTTCTTAGTTCGACCTTGTAATGTAAAGGTTCTTAGATCGACCCCTGCAGTTTCCTGGTATTCTTTTTTTTCAAATTTTAATCACCAAACATTGAACAAATAGAATTTGGTCAAACACATTGCAATATGTAATCTTAATGTTCTTCTTTTGAAAAGGTCTTAAATGTGAAATAGTGATCTTGGCAATCATATAGTTATTCGTATTGGTACATTTTACCGGTACCGGGCTTTACCTTAACGTAGGCAACTTCACGTAAATAAAGGAAGATGATGAAATGGTACCCAGCCGAATAAATAATGACAAGAACATGATACAGTTCAGCAACTTTAATGACATGTACACAACAATGTAGAATGCAGTCATTAGCTTTCGGCAACAATTCATTGTGAAAAATTATATAAACATAACGTTACTGTTATACGATCAAACTTAAAACCAAAAACCTTCCGGGCCCAAACCTTAACAATATGTATTCAAAATGTAGCATGGAGCAAATAGGTGACACGTATTGACGTCACAACAAAGGATGCGACACAGCTATAACGATACAACGGAGAATGCCCCAAACCAATCCAACAATCCCTTCAGTCAAAAGTTCTTAAAACATGTATATACATTATGCTGCAATCAAATATGGCCCTGATGTCTTGAAAATACAATCTTGGAACACAATTTTTCATCTTTGATTTTTTAACTCGAGACAGATACATTTCATTTGGTATGGCCTTATTCGGTACATTTCACATCCAAGTACACTGTATATTACTATATAGCAAATTTATTTGAACTTGTCAAGATTGACATGTCTGGTGATTTTTGTTATAAAGCACAGGGACCAGACATTTGTTTCTACACCTTTCTCCTTCTTATATACACAGATGTACCTATTCCGTCTTTGCGTATTGCAGAGTTATCTTCTCTTGGTAGCAGGTATCGATTGTTACGCCACTTGTTTGTGAGAGGAACGTCATCATTTTTTTTAGAAAACGACGTAATTTTCTCACACAAACCAATGACGTAACAATCAATACCTGCTCCCAAGAGAAGATAATTCTGCAATACGCAAAGACGGATTAACTAGCTAACTGAATTTGCACAGAAATTTGCATAAGGATCGCTAGAACCTGCGTCCAAGTTGAAAAGACTTCATTGAATTCCAGCATACCAGTAGCTAATCATTGGATTCTAGCATACCAGTAGCTAATCATTGGATTCCAGCATACCAGTAGCTAAACATTGGATTCCAGCATACCAGTAGCTAATCATTGAATTCCAGCATACCAGTAGGTAATCATTGAATTCCAGCATACCAGTAGCTAATCACTGGATTCCAGCATACCAGTAGGTAATCATTGGATTCCAGCATACCAGTAGGTAATCATTGGATTCCAGCATACCAGTAGCTAATCATTGGATTCCAGTAGCTAATCATTGGATTCCAGCATACCAGTAGCTAATCATTGGATTCCAGCATACCAGTAGGTATGCATTGGATTCCAGCATACCAGTAGGTAATTATTGGATCCCAGCATACCAGTAGGTAATCATTGGATCCCAGCATACCAGCAGGTAATCATTGGATTCCTGCATACCAGTAGGTAATCACTGGATTCCTGCATAACAGTAGGTAATCATTGGATTCCAGCATACCAGTAGCCAATCATTGGATTCCAGTAGCTAATCATTGGATTCCAGCATACCAGTAGCAAATCATTGGATTCCAGCATACCAGTAGCTAGTCATTGGATTCCTGCATACCAGTAGCTAGTCATTGGATTCCAGCATACCAGTAGCTAAACACAGGATTCCAGCATACCAGTAGGTAATCATTGGATTCCAGCATTCCAGTAGGTAATCACTGGATTCCTGCATACCAGTAGGTAATCACTGGATTCCAGCATACCAGTAGGTAATCAGTGGATTCCAGCATACCAGTAGCTAATCATTGGATTCTAGCACACCAGTAGCTAATCATTGGATTCCAGCATACCAGTAGGTACTCATTGGATCCCAGCATACCAGTAGGTAATCATTGGATCCCAGCATACCAGCAGGTAATCATTGGATTCCTGCATACCAGTAGGTAATAACTGGATTCCAGCATACCAGTAGGTAATCACTGGATTCCTGCATAACAGTAGGTAATCATTGGATTCCAGCATACCAGTAGGTAATCATTGGATCCCAGCATACCAGCAGGTAATCATTGGATTCCTGCATACCAGTAGGTAATCACTGCATTCCTGCATACCAGTAGGTAATCATTGGATTCCAGCATACCAGTAGGTAATCATTGGATCCCAGCATACCAGTAGGTAATCATTGGATCCCAGCATACCAGTAGGTAATCATTGGATCCCAGCATACCAGTAGGTAATCATTGGATCCCAGCATACCAGTAGGTAATCATTGGATCCCAGCATACCAGTAGGTAATCATTGGATCCCAGCATACCAGTAGGTAATCATTGGATCCCAGCATACCAGTAGGTAATCATTGGATCCCAGCATACCAGTAGGTAATCATTGGATCCCAGCATACCAGTAGGTAATCATTGGATCCCAGCATACCAGTAGGTAATCATTGGATTCCATCAGAGTGTGAGTAGGGGAAGAGAAACCCTGTGGCCGGTCCACAATATATACAACTTTTACCACACAAACAGTTAAGGTGAAGGATGGATGCTTACCTATGTCTGGTCTGTGTGACAAGGTTTTTCTTTTTCGTTCTGAGAAATATGTTGCAACATTTAATTAAAACATTCACCATAAAAATGCCGTTGACAAGTGGTCTGCTGGTAAAAACAAACATGGGGTATATTAGTAAAATAAAAGTGAGCACTTCAACCAGGTTAGGAGTGTTACATCTATATGTACATTATCAATTCATTTGCTGTTAATGTCGTCAGTCATTTGTGCAGGGAATTTTCCCCCTATTTCTATGGCTAAAAATAGAATACATAGAAACATGCTTCCTACATGGTGAAAAAATAACTTCATTCAACAGATAGCTGGCTGCAAAGAAATGCTGATGATGTGAAGCAGATTCAACGCAAGTCCCACCAAGGCACAGGAGGAATCTGATTGTCAAACAAGAAGACAGTAGATGGTACTGTAAGCTTGTGTAAATGTGCGGTTTGCATACAAAACAAATCATTATATATTAACTCTGAAATATTCCAGAATGATTGACTTGTGTTGCTTATTTCAAAATCAAAATGAAATGAACATTAATCATATTACTTAAAGAATTTATTTATATTCATGTACGTATTACCCTGTTAATATTTACCAAACACATTAAGAGGACAATATAAAAAAAACATGATTTTTTTAATTGATTTGATTTTCACCCATTGATCAATGTTCAGTTAATAGTAATGTTAAATTAAACATGTTTAAAAAAACAAAACAAAAACAACAAAAAAACTACTATACCATGAGGTTACACAGCTGGAGCGTGGGTATACATAGCTGCTGCCACCAGGCTGTAAAACCTAGTCCATCATGTCTCTCATCTACAAACATCTAGTGCCCACATTTACCAAAAACAAATCATAAACAATTTGTACATCACTTCTTTGCATCAATACATAAGGAGTTTGCCACATACAACACAGATTTAGAGGACCAAAGGAGTTTTTTAACACTGGTACACTGTGTATTATCAGGTAAGTAATTTTTTGAGATTCACTAAGCATGGGAATGATTAAATTTAAGAACTGGACACGAGTTAAAATTGAAAATACAACATATTTTTAGTTTTTACCAGGTATATGGACCAAATATTTCCAAAAGAAAAATGTATTTATTTTCTGAACATGTATTTTACTACAAATTTTGGCATGCTGAATATATATAAACCCACTTTGGCTTTAATTGGTCAGTGCCCAATATTCCCTGGTATATCACAGTGCTGCTGACAATCAGAACATCTACAGCAACTGGATTCAACTTCAAATAGAACCTCATCAAATTGTAATTTGGAGGACCTTTAAATAAAATTTGAACTAATGAACTAAAATCTTTCAAAAACATATTTTTTTGACTGAATGCTTTTCTACACTACAATCTATTATATATCTGTACTACAAGAAAAAATCATTTAATTCAAAGATAAAATTCTAGGTAACAAATATATCCATGCATAGTTGTAAATGGAGATTGCCTTAATCTCACTGAGCTACCCTTCCAATCCTACACTGTACACCAGTCAGCGTTTATATATAGCAGCATTTAATTGTACAGCTACTTAAACAAAACAGACACCTGGGGTGAAGGAAGCGTCCTACTGTTCTTAATTAAACAATCACCTTTAACAAATCAGAAAGATTACTCATGTCAGGAGCTAGGTGATAAAGTTTGACCCTCTGTATTGTTTATAGAAATGGGAAAATACTGTGACATCACAAAGAAAATAATTAAATGACGTCTCATTTAGGCCGTATTGATGGCTGACCTGACAATTACAGTGCAGTGGACAGACACTATAGAAACCAAATACCACACAAAAATGTTATGTTACACTTCAAGTAAGACAAATAATTACAGATCTAGTTGTGTACAATACATAACAAAAGGACCATCTATTTCAAAAACAACAAAACGTGAATTTATGAGATCAACCATTAATTGGGTGCTTTAAAGCATTTTTTGATGTGTTGGTCCTAGTATCAGCAATATACAGCAGAGATTCCTAACAACAAGGCAATCTACCAACACACCTACCAAAAAACTGTCAAACGAATGTTCCATAATGTCATCACTATCACATAGAAGAGTCAGTAAAGACAAGATATGACTTCATATGTTTATCTGAAAATTCAAACTCAACATCACAAATATTGTACAAAAATTTACACAAGTGATTTACCAGTTGAACTTTGGTAGTCCAATACTTTCGTTTAAAAGAACTCTTGAAATTCACTGAAAATTTCTGGAAATTGATCGATGAGTTATCTGGACTATTTGAGGTAGTACTAACAAGGTTCTACTGTCAAGACATATACAACACAACACATGTATAGCATTTGTAATGAGTTCACATTGTCCATACAACAATTTTACTGCTCTGGCACTGTCAATATATAGCAACTGTAACATGTTCACATTGTCACTATAGCGACTTGAACATTATGTTCACAATGTCTCTATAGCGACTTGAACATTATGTTCAATATCTCTATAGTGACTTGAACATATGTTCACAATGTCTCTATAGCAACTTGAACATTATGTTCAATGTCTCTATAGCAACTTGAACATTATGTTCACAATTTCTCTATAGCGACTTGAACATTATGTTCACAATGTCTCTATAGCGACTCATTCTGAACATGTTCAAGTCCCTATAGTGACAATGTGAACATAATGTTAAAGTCACTATAGAGACATTTTGAACATGTTCAAGTCGCTATAAAGACATTGTGAACATGTTCAAGACGCCATAGAGACATTCTGAACATTTTCAAGTCGCTATAGAGGCATTGTGAACATGTTCAAGTAGCCATAGAGACATTCTGATCATGTTCAAGTCGCTACAGAGACATTGTGAACATAAGGTTCAAGTCGCTATAGAGACGTTGTGAACATAATGTTCACAATGTCTCTATTGCGACTTGAACATGTTCACAATGCCTCTATAGCGACTTGAACATTATGTTCACAATGTCTCTATAGTGACTTGAACATTATGTTCACATTGTCACTATAGCGACTTGAACATGTTCAGAATGTCTCTATGGCGACTTGAACATGTTCACAATGTCTCTATGGCGACTTGAACATGTTCAAAATGTCTCTATGGCGACTTGAACATGTTCAAAATGTCTCTATGGCAACTTGAACATGTTCACAATGTCTCTATGGCGACTTGAACATGTTCACAATGTCTCTATGGCGACTTGAACGTGTTCAAAATGTCTCTACGGCAACTTGAACATGTTCACAATGTCTCTATAGCAATTTAAACATCGTACAAAAACAATATTGTACTGCATAACCAATGATATTAAAATAACAATTTCTTAAATAATTCACAATGGAAAGAGAATTGCAACAAAATGAATGCAAAATGTTGCATTATCACACATTAAAACAGAAATGTATAATGTTGAAAATGAAATTGTGTCAAAATCGAATGTAACTGAAGTGCCGTCACAGACCTGTACAAAGGTGCTATTCAGTGGTTTGTTGTACAGGCCCTTTCACACCTTGTGTGGGTGGAGGAGGACTACTCACTTCCTGTGAACACATTATGAGGAATGAAGGCACGTGATATTGACCTTCCGTCCGAATGGTATACTGAAAGACATTGTATATCAAGTCCAGGTTTGCATTGCTGATGCTGTCACTATTAAACACACTTTTTTTGCATTTTGCATGAAATATTTCACATTTCCATGAATTTTATATTTTCTAGAGACAATCCTCTATTAACAATGATTTGATGATAACAATAATAACTTATTTGACTAAAGGCTTGCTACAACATAAGCAACAGTACACATCCCAGCCTTTGTACGTTAGTACACTGTAAAAGCAGATCAGTGAAAATGCAATAAAAGCAGGTCAATTAGAAAGATTCGTAATAAAAGTAGACCATTAAGACGAAGATTCGTAATAAACGTAGATCATTTAGACGAAGATTCGTAATAAACGTAGATCATTAGGACGAAGATACGTAATAAACGTAGATCATTTAGACGAAGATTCGTCATAAACATAGACCATTCAGACAAAGATTCTTAATAAACTTGGATCATTTAGACGAAGATTTGTAATAAACACAGATCATTGAGATTCAACTTAAAAGCAGATCATTGAGATGGGGATTCGCGGTAGAAGCAGATAATTCAGACTGAGCATCATAATATACCACATCATTCAGATGAAGAATCATAATAAAAGCATATCAATGTGAATATGTACACAGCACGCAGAAAACAGTGTGATAGCAAATAATAAGGTATGAGAAATGAAACAAAACAATAGAAGGCTTATGTCAACAAAGCACTAAAACAAACTACATGTCTATATACATTCATTAGAGATTCAATACATCTTGATATATAAGCAGATACTAAAAGCATGAAAAAAATACATGTATACCTATATATAGCTAGTGTATAATGAAATTTCATCTCCAGAAAAACAATTATACAAATCTGTCATCGTTGATGTTGTTATTTTCTATAGTATTCCAATCCTGGTATGTCCCAAATACTTAAGCATCTGTAGTATTTAACCATTTGATCAATATCTAACAAACAAAATATGTACTAATATTATACATAATAAACAAATAAGGGTGTCTGTCAAATTGTAAACAAAGAATGAAGACTTGTTATACGTGTACCAAGTTAATTACAATAAAATTAAAAAAATATATAATTAAAAACCAAAAATAAAATATTATTGTTCTTTGCTCAGAAGCACAATATTAATAGCACTAATTAAGAATGCATAGCACTAATTAAAGACACGTTTTGAACTTCAAAATTCGTTTCTAGATCTTTCTCTAGAACTCATTGAAGATATTTTTAACTCCACATAACCATGAGCACTGCAATGATCGGTCTAGTTTACATTAGTACAAAACAAAAAAGGAAGTATCTTAACACTAGAAATAAATAGTCAGCACTTCAATATAAGTAGCACTTAGTAGCAATAGTACAGGAATAAAAACTTGTTTAGTATTGTAGTACATCTAAACTATTTTTGAGCACAAATTTCAATAACAAGACTTCAACTCAACTGTAGGTACAAAATACAGCGTTAACAATGTAAAAAGGGTAAAATGTTACTTGAGAAGTGGAGACCAAGCAGATCAGAAGATACTTTTCCATGCAACATATTTTATCAGGCCCTCGAATAAAAAAGTAGACCATCAGTCCTGTAAACAACGATGCTATTAACTCATTCATCCCTGAAATTTATCAATGAATTATTCCAAACTTTAAACTGGAAGAGTTTAAATGCTTCTTCAGGGGTGAAGAGTTGATTAACTATCATATCGCTTAAGACTAATACAACAATGTACATGTATTTATATATATCATGTTGGAAATAAATGTCTGTTACACCCCGACATACAATCAGAGTGAACTCTGAACTAATTACATGTTGTATAGCATTTTCACCTGAGAAAGTTTTTATTAAATATTTCATAAACATAATAAAATAAATCCAGTAAAATTTAACAAAGTATTGTTTAATGCACTGACTCTAGAATTTTGATTTTTTTTCTTCTTCTGAAAATTAATTAGAATCACAATCTCACAGAACACTTGTTAAAACCTTGTAATTTTAATTTTTTATTGTTTTTAAATGTTGAAATCTGGAGCAAAAAAAAATGAGTAAATTAATACTGATGAGTAATTTATGAACATAATCCAAGTCTCTTTTACATTACAACTCATTTCAAAAAAAGACACAAAGAGATAATCAAATTAACGCAAATGTTGAATTCATCAGTGTAGCACAGCTGAAAATCCAAATTAGATCCACAACAACATTGAAGATTTGTTCTCATGGAAAAGACAGGTAGTTATCTCATTTCAGGGTGTGTACCTGTTTTATCTCCCTGTATACCAATCTGGTGGTATGTGCAAATTAGTTGATAAATAACACCCATAAACCCTAGCACAAGTCATGTTTGAAGCAAATATGCACTTAAATATAAATGAACTTGCAGTATGTAATATCGCAACAACAATATTTCAACTTACAAAGACATTAGTTCGTTCATCACATGCTTTTCTAATACTGAAACAGATGACATTTTTTTCCCAATCTGTTGGTTGAAACATTCCATCCTTCCACACTAACACACTAGGTCCTAATTATCTCAAGATGTTCAGATCAGGAATCTGCACTTAGCTCTTGGCTGACACAATACTTTACACATTCATACAGATGTAAAATTTAAATCCAATTGTACCATTTCTAAAGGGAAAGTTATTTTATTCAAGATGTCTCCAAATGTAAATCACCTTCACAAATATACTGTATGAAACTTCCAATGTTTCATCCAACTAATTCATTTTTTATGGATGAGACATGTTTACAGGAGGCACGGTAGCCTAGTGGTAGGACGCCGGGCTCGTAACCGAAAGGTTGTGGGTTCGAGTCACGGCACATCACTGTGGTATATCTTTGAGCAAGAGACATTACTCCGCTTGTTCCAGTCTACTCAGCTGTAAATGAGAATGTGGTTGGGCAGTGCTAGAATTGTTGAATACTAGCTGTAAGTACCGAAATGGCAGAACCGGCTGTATGCTCCCCAGGGGGTCGAGAAAGATGTTGGCTGGTTGCCAAGGCCCTATAACCACGGATAATAATTTGTGAACCGCTTTGAGACGACCTACGAACTAGGTTGTGATAAAGCGGTATATAAGAACTTCAAATTAATTTTTAATTACATTTGGACACAATCATTAACGTAGTAATTGTTGCCAGTGACTCGGTTTGATAGAGGACTACAGAACTCATGCCTACGAGACTGACTACACAGAAAGCCCAGATAGTATTGTCTTGGTTTTGCTTCAGATCAATGTGGAAGCTGAAGGGTCTTGTGTATCAAGGACAAATGAATATCAATGATTCCATTGGACCCTAAAAAATATATCAGTGATGACAACATCATTCACTTTACAACCCGCTAATGAACTTTCCATTTCCCCCCTCTGACTTACAACAAACCCATTTCAATATATTAACCATAAACTTTGTGATGATTTTCAAAAAACACATTTTTTGAAACTGTTCAAAGACCTCCAATCATACAGCTGTCTGACCATGTTTTTTTCTTTTTTAAACTCTTTAATTCAAACTATTAACATTTTGATGAGTCTGTGCTAATATGGCCCAATTGGACTAGATTATGATGAGTTTGTGCTAAATGATTAACTCCACTAGACTTTTGGCGAGTTTATGCTAACACTCCTAAGTTGTTCTAGACTGTGGTGAGTTTGTGGAGTACTTAACTGGGCGAGCTAGTGCTTACCCTCTGATCTGAACATCTTGATCCTGCCACTTTATATTTTTGTTTCAAATGGATTTGATGATGAAAAGTTAGGATTTGATATAGTATTATTGTCACCAACAATTTCGTCATCGTCTTCCAATTTAAATGTAGGTACTTTATGGGCAGGTCCCCATTCCTTGGATGGTTTAAGTAAATACCGGAATTTCTGAAAGCATAAAACATAGTTTTAGTAGTTTTGGTATCAGTATTACCCATTACATGCTACCTTACTTAATGTGTGTCAAATTGTCAAATTGTCTCCCTTACAACTTACAACAGTTAGCTAGTAAGAGTTGTGTCACCTTATTACCCCATTAGCGTTGTTGAAGTTGTCTCCCTTACAACTTACAACAGTTAACTGGTAAGAGTTGTGTCACCTTACCCCATTAGCGTTGTTGAAGTTGTCTCCCTTACAACTTACAACAGTTAGCTGGTAAGAGTTGTGTCACCTTACCCCATTAGCGTTGTTGAAGTTGTCTCCCTTACAACTTACAACAGTTAGCTGGTAAGAGTTGTGTCACCTTACCCCATTAGCGTTGTTGAAGTTGTCTCCCTTACAACTTACAACAGTTAGCTGGTAAGAGTTGTGTCACCTTACCCCATTAGCGTTGTTGAAGTTGTCTCCCTTACAACTTACAACAGTTAGCTGGTAAGAGTTGTGTCACCTTACCCCATTAGCGTTGTTGAAGTTGTCTTCCTTACAGTTTACAATTGCTAGCCTATTATTTGAGTCGTGCCGAATGTTCGGAATGTTTTCGAATTCTTTAAATCGAGCGCACCCCCTGTTAGAGATGTCTCCCTTATGAATTACACTTATTATTCTGTAAAAGTTGTCATCTTTACATATATGTATTGGAGTTGTGTCCCTTACATATTACATCCATGATTGTGTTAAGAGTTGACTCCCTTAAACTTTACATCTGTAAGTTTTTTAACTTATCTCCCTTACACGTCACACTGGTTTGCATACATTTGTCGAGTTTTATTTTGTGTTAGTGTCAAAGCGTCATTGAATACTAAAAACAACAAAAACAATATTCTACTGAATTCTGGCAGCAATTCAATCAGAGCTCAAACCAACTGGTATCTATTAAATACAGAGCTCCAGCAAACTGCTATCTTTTTAATATTAATTCAATTTCCTATATTGGATTTACAGTGTGCAGTGTCAGCATGAATATGATTGTTCATGTCCAGTAAACTACAGAATATGAACACTTACCTCTCCTAAACTGAGCTCCCTAGGGGCTACATTCTTGAGTTGGTATATCATCAGTGAGACAATGAAAAGCATGGGTAAAAGAGAGAGAAACCAGCCAAGTCCATTCGCCCATACAGGATACACATACTTGTCAAATTTCAGTGGTCTGTATTGAATCAGGTTAAAGACCAAAACACTCTGAAAAACAGTAATTAAATCATACATAATATTACTGTGGTTAAAATGATGCTGGAATTATTTGTAAAACAAGGCATATCCATTATCCTTATCAATTAATGGACACCACCACTAAAGTTAGGGACACATCCTTAGAGTTACTGTTGATGGGTTCAGACATGAGATAAAACTTACCAGGAGTGTAATTGGAGAGAGGAACTGCCAGAAGATTTTAAAGAAGATATGAAATGATCTCTGCTGTCTGCCAATCATCAGTTCTATATCCTCGATAAATCTTTCCCCACCTATGATCAAACATAATCAAAATCACATAAGAATAATATGTACACAGTACAGGTCGTCATGCAACATTCTCCTTTCTTGGTCCTGAATGTTTCAAGATCTAACAGAAATGCCACACTGACTAGAGGCGTCACGATTCACCGCGATGCACTTGTACCGGGATTATTTATGTTTAATCGATATATTTTTCCGGATTTTCAATACGTCATGATCTGAATATTAGAGTATGCCACTTCAGCTGAAAGGTCTGTGAGACGTTCAATTTCATTGGCTGATCTCTAAACCCTCAGCCAATCAGCTGCAAGGATGCAATTTTCACAAAGTATTCATACCAAAATGGCAGACCGCGGTAAGGGAATGAAAATTTGCTAGCTTCAAATCAAAGTGTGGAAACACTTGGGTTCTCGTGTATCGACGGCTTATATGTCTCATTTTGTTTATATTTTAAAATAAAGGTGTATCGAATCGAAATAATTGAATCGTGGTACAAATAGGGAGATACGTATGGAATCATGGGTAAAGTGTACAGTGACAGCTCTAACACTGACATACATGTATGAATCGTGGGTCAAGTGTTCAGTGACAGCTCTAACACTGACATACATGTATGAATCGTGGGTAAGGTGTATAGTGACTGCTCTAACACTGACATACATGTATGAATCGGGGGTAAAGTGTACAGTGACAGCTCTAACACTGACATACATGTATGGAGAGGTTCTATTTTAACAAAGTGCTTACCATATATCCATCCAACTATTATACATTCAAGTGCAGCCATCACAAACACCATCCAACTGGAAACATAGGCATCCATTAACTGAAGCAGGTACATCCCTCCCTGTAAAATAGTACACCTCAATTTCAATAATAATATACCATCACATATATATTTCTAATTTCTTCGACAAAAGTTATTACAATTTTTTTCCCAAAAAGGTTTACTCCAAATGATCTTTTTTGTTTTACACGTTGTTAAATCTGTATCTGAAAACAAACACAAATTCCACAATTTGATCATTGAAGTACATATATATACATAAATCTAAAAAACATTTATCGACAAAAAGTAACTTAAATAATTGTTTAATTTTATGCACAATCAATTTGAATCCAAAATAGGTTAAAAGCATGTAATGAAATGTTTTGAATGCCGACATCATCACAGTTTCATGTCTATTTCAGGTCTTTTTCAGTGTTTGTTGTGATGAGAAAAACCCACAACTAATGATTCATAACACCAACCCAATCAATCAATGTGCTTCATTCAAGAGCCAGGTAATACTGCCAATTACATTAATACATTGGAAAAGTTTATTTATGACATAATAGTAGCTTCTAACTCTACATGTTGTAAATGCGGGCCAATTCACCCTAGAGAAGTAGAATACATACACTTGTGGTAACAGACAATCCACAAAGGAAACCAATGATACAGACAACCAACACAACCCACGTCTTCTTACTCCTCAGCTGTGGGTAGGTGTCCTGAACAGCAGTCAGAACAGTTTCCAACAGGGCGAACTACCAAAACAAAGGGTTAGGTCAGGTCAGTTAGATTTAACTAAAAGATTTTTTGTTGGATAACAATTTTACAATGACATAGCTTCCTTCAAGTTAAAGTAATTATCACATCTCGTCCCCCCCCCCCCCCAAAGGTTAGGTGTACAAAACTAGAAACAGTAATGAGATGATTATACCCGTTTAAAGTATTCATTATATGAAGAATCTGTGCACATACCGTATAATGTCATGGAATGTTTTAGAGGATTTTTTTGCTTTTTACAGGGGTTGTTTCTTCCCCCCATATGCTTTTTCACTTTTAATGCTTTAGGAATGAGAAATTTACATGATTGTTTGCAATATATTTTACAGAGGGCCTGTATCGCTCACCTGTTTCTTTCGTTACATGAAACAGACATATAGGTAACTTCAGACCAAATTTGGGAACTAAAACACAAGACATTTTAACATCTCTTAAACAGTTCTTAAGATATTTTGTTTGAAATTTGAAATTTCAATTTTAAAGCTTTCAAATCATGTTGACCTTTGACTCCAGCTAGCATTTACAGTTGACCTTTGACCTCATTACTGCAATAAAGAAAACGATTCACACAGCTGGTCTACATAACATAAGTATCATGACTCTAGATCAAATGGTTCTGAAGATATTGTTGTTTAAAGGTTTTAACATATTTGACCCCTGAGACATTGAAAGTAAGTCAAGGTCATTTTAATGAAGAGTATTCCATCCCAGGTACCCATTGGCCAAATATTATGGCACTGGGCCTTATGGAACTTGAGAAGAAGTTTGTTAAAGCTTTAAATTTTATCCCATGTTGACCTTTGACCCCACTTGCATTTAAAGTTGACCTTTCACCTCATTACTATAATGAAGAAAAAACTTTGCACTGCTGGACTTCATAACATACCTAAGTACCATAACTAGTCCAAATGGTTCTAAGGATATTGTTGTTTTAAGTTTTTACCATATTTGACCCCTGTGACCTTGAAAGTAGGTCAAGCTCATTTTCGTTTGCAAACTTTTTCGTGCTCTTTCTTAGGAAGCTACCAGCCAAATTTGAAGATTCTTTACCTTTCAGTTCTTCAGAAGAAGTAGGTTGAAGTGTTTGACAAATTTGACCCCTGTAAATTTGAAAGTTGCTAGGTCAAGGTAATTTTCATTCGCACACTTTGTCAGGCTCTTTCCAAGGAAGCTACTAGCAAGATTTGAAGATTCTATACCTTTCAGTTCTTCAGAAGAAGTCGTTTAAAGGAAAAGTTGCCAGACGACGCCGGCCAGACAACGTACCATGACATAAGCTCACTTGCCCTATGGGCAGGTGAGCTAAAAAATTAAAAAGGAGTATCATAAATCTAATATGAAGTGAAACAAATGACTGATCTTTTTATCGTATAATACAAAGTAAACTGTATAATTGTGATCTGAAATGAATATTTTACACTTGGCCGCCTCTGAAACAATGAAAATTGCTTCCACTTCACATTGATTGTTCCTATTCAATTGTGACGTCATTTCCAGAGTGATATCACACATGTTACATAAACATAATTTGTGATGGCTTTATGATGCTGCATAACACAGTCTTCATATGATAAATATATATATGTACATTACCTCACTACCCATGCCAAGTGTGATCATCATCACAAAGAAGAGGATGGACCATAGAGGTGAGATGGGTAGTCTCGTCACCACGTCTGGGTAAACAATAAATGCCAGACCCGCACCTGGTAAGTCAATATACATATTAAGGTCAGACACATGTAATGAACTATAGATATCGTCCCATGCAAAGACTTCATACAAGTCTATGATATATGATAGGTTTATATCATTTGCAATTTATTCCAACAGCATTTCCATCTTACTGAGTTCTGTGGTTAGCATTGTAAGTCAGATATACGTTAAACTGAGCAAGTTTCAGTTAGTATTGTTCATTTTTCAGGTCTGTCACAGTTTTAACAGTGTAGAGTGCTATGATGTATATTTCCTACATCATATCAAAGTACATTCTAGCACATATCACAGGTAACTTCTCTGTTCTCACATGCCTCACATGAACCTATGGCCTCATAATTGTTCTTACAGATTTCATATAATCTATTGTTTATACATAACTTATACAACTTATTGTTCTCAAATGACATATAAACCATTGTTCTTACAGACTTCATATTAACTGACTTCATATTAACCATTTTTCTTTAATACTGTCTTTATATTAACCATTGTTTTTACTGACTGTATACGGCCATCAACCATTGTTCTTACTGACTTCATATTAACCATTGTTCTTACTGACTTCATATTAACCAGACTTCATATTAACAATTGTCTTTACTGACTTTATATTAACCATTGTTTTTACTGACTGTATACAGCCATCAACAATTGTTCTTACTGACTTCATATTAACCAGACTTCATATTAACCATTGTCTTTACTGACTTTATATTAACCATTGTTTTTACTGACTGTATACAGCCATCAACAATTGTCTTTACTGACTTTATATTAACCATTGTTCTTACTGACTTCATATTAACCATTGTCTATACTGACTTCATATCATAATTATCCATTGTTCTTTTTACCGACTGTATACAACCATTGTTTTTACTGACTTTACATAATCCATTGTTTATAACACGATATAATGTAACTTATTGTACCACTCAAGAAGTTAAGTATACATTTAAGAATTAATCAGCCATTTAAAAAAGTTATAATTTCACATAGAGAGGCCAAACTAAAACAGCAGGCCGTGGCCCCATGGCTTACCTTGGTCCACCACTTTATCTACAGGCATGTCCAGCTCCTGGGCAAGGTACCCAATGATGGAGAATATGACAAATCCTGCGAAAATGCTTGTACAAATATTTCCTACAGAAACTATCATTGCATCTCTAAAGAGAAAGAAGAAATAACATTTAGTCAACAAATTTATAAAATTTCCAACACCATCAAAACGAACTTCAGTCATTTGCTTGGTTTCATTGAGTTTGGAAAATTAGCAACATTACAATGTCTTGAAATTAAAATACTTTCTCCTATAATTTAGCATCGCCAAAACGCCCTCGCCAATTTTTTCAGATGCAACTCACTTTTTTTTTATTATTTCTTTGTTCAACGCAACACTATGGAAAATCGAAGTGATTTTAATTTTAGTTTTAAAGGCATTGAGATCGATCAAAAGGGTTGAAGGGAGATTATATGTTCTTTAATATTAAGAGAAAGTCTGACCTCGCATGTTATAATACAAAGACATGAACATTTCAATACAAATTATGAATTACCGGAGTTTAAAAATCTGACTGATAAGTCAGTATTTATCAGATATCATTCTAATAACTCACTTGAAACAATTGTTGTGGAATTTGTTGTAACTGGACAATGTGATGAGACCACCCCAGGCAGGGCTGAGGGCAAAGAAAATCTGGGCTGCTGCATCTGACCACACCTGCACAAACAGACAACCTCCATAAACAAACTAGCTACAACACCTGGATATAAGTTTTCTTAAAATCAACTTTTCTGACATACAAATTGTTTGTTATTGAATTTCAAAATGATAAATAGATTTATAAATAGACAATATTTCTTCAGTGTAACATAATCTGTAGTATCAAATGAAGTAGGATTGACCGACGTTAAATGGTTTGACTGACGCTAAGTGGTAGATGGAATGTGTCTTACTTTTGCATCTCCAAGCTTATCAAATCTGGGTGTTAGGTAAAACAAAATTCCTTTCATGGATCCAGGCAGGGTGACTCCTCGGAAAAACAGGATACACAGCACAACGTAGGGAAACAGAGCTGTGAAATAAACAACCTGCAACAAAACCATTGAGCCAAACATTAATGTAAAGTCTGCTGCAAGAACTTTAATTTTTTGGTAATTGATTTGTGAAAGTGTCAAAAACTACTGGAGAATCAATACTAAATAGATCTTTATAAATTGTATATCTGTGTACTGTAAAGCGCTTTAGTGTGGCTTATGTTAGCTAGATAGGGCGCTATATCAAATGTTGTATATTATTTATTTATTTCTAAGAAACAATGGCATTACAAGAGATCTCTTGAGAAACATAAGATCTTCATTGGTCCTATGTAAGTTTAATCTTTTTTCCCTTATCTGTTTGACTGAGTCATGTCACCAGTCTAAACATCTGGTGGTAACGCTTGATCAAAATTTTACACTGCTGTGTTTGATGTTGTCTTTTCAAAGTATATTTACAAGAAAGCACAGGGACTCGAGACGTTGTTACGTTTACCTATGTTTTGACCTATCATGATATAGAGAGTAATATGAGATGTTTTAAGGTTTTAGATCAATACTTGGTAAAAATTCCACCCCACTGACGGTGTACTTTGGATTGAGAGACACAACCTTGCCCAAGAATGACAGCACAATGATAGTACATGTATACCACACTATCATCACATTACCAGGACCAAGCTTAACAGGAACCTTGATAGGAAATTTGAGAAATATTTGTCCTGTCTTTCTGGAAAATGGATGAAGACGATTTGAACAGCTCAATATCTGATGATGTTAGGCTAAAATTTCAGACAGCAATTCGCTTGCCTTTGATCTTGTGTATACATAAAAACCATTCTTCATGTCAATTGCATTTCCATAAATGTACCTTTTATTACTATATGGCTTTGACCAATAGCATTTTGTCACATGAATGCAATCTTATTGATTTGCAATACTAGTGTTGACCAATGAGAACTCACCTTTCCTGTCGATTTTACTCCCTTGCTGAGAGCAGCAAATGTCAAAGCCCAGGCTGCGAGGAGACACAGGGCAATCTTCCATTGGATGTTACCCATGTCTTCGATACCATCAGACATATTAAGGACTCCTCGTCTACAGGGGCAAACAAAGAAAATAATATCAATTCATTTTTATAAACATTTCTTAACATTTATGTGAATGATATAGATGGCACAACACTGTTATTTGTCAGAGCAAACTGTGACATTAAGAAGAATATTACATTAACCGAATCATTTTTTTACTGAAAATAATTAATTACTAATTATCAATGTATGAAATCAGACATAAACTAAAACACCAGTCAGTAAGGGACACAACATATGAATTACGTCTCCATAGAGTTTGCTTTCAATATAACAATTACAGTCCACCTGTATGAAAATGTAAGTAATCATATATCCTCAATTAAGGAAACGAACAGCTAGCAAGTTTGGTCTATTTACCTGTCAAATTGCCTTACTCCTAGGGAATTTGAAATTGAATTCCATTTTTGTTTGAGGGACAATAGAGCTGTCCTTACCAATACCGGACAGATGCACACAAATCTTACTCAAAGAAATCTTGAGCTGGAGCATGTCTGGTCTGATTAGCAGCAAGCTTGGTGATATTGTGAAAATCGCCCATTGTTGTGTTGTAGCACTGTCCGTGGTAGAAGATGTTGCCGTCAAATGAGTGACAGGCATCAGCTTCCTTATATTCATAGCAGTCTACAAAACCAAAATCAAATGGTGTTAGACATGTTACTGATGTCTCGTGACACGAAAGTCTACTCATAAATAACCATTAACAGCTGTGACACGGAAGTCTGCTCATAAATAACCATTAACATGTCTCCTGACATGGAAGTCTACTCATAAATAACCATTACCATTTACAGCTGTGACACGGAAGTCTACTTATGAATAACCATTAACAGCTGTGACACGAAAGTCTACTCATAAATAACCATTACCATTTACAGCTGTGACACGGAAGTCTACTCAAAAATAACCATTAACAGCCGGGACACGAAAGTCTGCTCATAAATAACCATTAACATGTCTCGTGACAAGGAAGTCTACTCATAAATAACCATTAACAGCTGTGACACGGAAGTCTACTCTTAAATAACCATTAACATGTCTCGTGACACGGAAGTCTACTCATAAATAACCATTAACATGTCTCGTGACACGGAGGTCTACTCATAAATAACCATTAACAGCTGTGACAGGAAAGTCTACTCTTAAATAACCATTAACAGCCGTGACACGGAAGTCTACTCATAAATAACCATTAACAGCTGTGACAAGAAAGTCTACTCATAAATAACCATTAACATGTCTCTTGACACGAAAGTCAACTCATAAATAACCATTAACAGCTGTAAGTGTTATTCTATCTTAGGCCAAATAAAACAATAGGTCCATTGGACCTGTATCGCTCACCTGGTTTTATATTTAAGTCATTACAACTGAATGCATTAGTACATCTTTATATGAAATTTCCTCAAAACCAGACAAGATCTATGTTCTAACCCAACTGGGACCACAATATTATCTGACTTTTCAACTAATCAGGGGCCTCCATTGATGCGCATTGTAAAATGTACTAATATTTTGTGGTCTATTATGGATTGTACATGTGTTCTGATGCGCATTGTAAAATGTACTAACATTTTGTGGTCTATTATGACTTGTACATATGTTCTGATGCGCATTGTAAAATGTACTAACATTTTGTGGTCTATTATGAATTGTACTTATGTTCTGCTGCGCATTGTAAAATGTACTAACATTTTGTGGTCTATTATAAATTGTATTTATGTTCTGCTGCACATTGTAAAATGTACTAACATTTTGTGGTCTATTATGAATTGTACAAATGTTCTGCTGCGCATTGTAAAACGTACTGGCATTTTGTGGTCTATTATAAATTGTACATATGTTCTGATGCGCATTGTAAAATGTACTGACATTTTGTGGTCTATTATGAATTGTACATATGTTCTGCTGCGCATTGTAAAATGTACTGACATTTTGTGGTCTATTATGAATTGTACATATGTTCTGCTGCGCATTGTAAAATGTACTAACATTTTGTGGATTTTATGAATTGTACATATGTTCTGCTGCGCATTGTAAAATGTACTGACATTTTGTGGTCTATTATGAATTGTACAAATGTTCTGCTGCGCATTGTATAAGGTACTAACATTTTGTGGATTTTATGAATTGTACATATGTTCTGCTGCACATTGTAAAATGTACTAACATTTTGTGGTCTATTATGGATTGTACATATGTTCTATATCCCACAGGTATTCTGTGTGATACTATTATTTGTACTTACATTCTGAGGCCCATTCTCCACACTTTTCCCAGGGCAGCTCGGAGGTGAAGGAAAGGCAGAGATAGAGGATACACCAGCCTATGATCACCGTGTAGTAAACGGCAACAAGTGCTGACACTGTGATCATACCATAACCTAACCCTGGAAAGGCAAACACATACATTACTCACTGTATATATCTATATAATCAACAAAGTACTAATACTTGTGTAACAGGAAAGAGAATAGTGTGCTTCCACCGGGGATCGAACCCTCGATCTCCAGGTTCCTAGTCGGACACTCTACAACTGAGCTAAAGGGAAATTCCCCCTAGTTCGAAGCTAGAAGGCGACCTTAATCCTATGTACAATTGACCCCTGCCACACTACTCGTCCCTTTTTAAATGTGTTCGCCCTCGAACACCACAACCCAGGTTCTAACTCCCTGTCACTACAGAGAGGGCCACGGACACCATTTGTAACAGGAAATAGAACAGTGTGCTTCCACCGGGGATCGAACCCTCGATCTCCAGGTTCCTAGTCGGACACTCTACAACTGAGCTAAAGGGAAATTCCCCCTAGCTCGAAGCTAGAAGGGGACCTTAATCCTATGTACAATTGAACCCTGCCACACTTGTATCAATTGCAATAATAGAACATTTATTCCCTCTAAATTTTCAGCATTTCAGACTCTTCTGCTGAATGGCAAAGATATTTTTGTGTATTAACAAGATTTAAAACAATGACCCGAGATAGGTTTATATGTGCATTTTGTGTTTGCTGGAGAAAACCAGAGAGTCTTGAGCATGCCTCACTGGCTGTAATCAGAACAGATATATTTCGTGTACTACATCGCTCACTGGCTATAATCAAAACCGATGCATTTCGTGTACTACATCGCTCACTGGCTGTAATCAGAACCGATGCAATACATGTACTACATTGCTCACTGGCTGTAATCAGAACCCATGCAATTGGTGTACTACATTCATCACTGGCTGTAATCAGAACCCATAAATTTTGTGTAACTACATCGCTCACTGACTGTAATCAGAACCCATGCAATACATGTACTACACTCCTCACTGGCTGTAATCAGAACCCATGCAATACATGTACTACACTCCTCACTGGCTGTAATCAGAACCCATGTAACTGGTGTACTACATTCCTCACTGACTGTAATCAGAACCCATGCAGTACATGTACTACACTCCTCACTGGCTGTAATCAGAACCCATGCAACTGGTGTACTACACTCCTCACTGGCTGTAATCAGAACCCATGCAATTGGTGTACTACATTCATCACTGGCTGTAATCAGAACCCATGCATTTTGTGTACTACATTACTCACTGGCTGTAATCAGAACTGATACTGATGGAACAAGACTCACTGGCTGTTATCAGAACCCATGAAATACATGTACTACACTCCTCACTGGCTGTAATCAGAACCCATGCAACTGGTGTACTACACTCCTCACTGGCTGTAATCAGAACCCATGCAACTGGTGTACTACATTCCTCACTGATTGTAATCAGAACCCATGCAATACATGTACTACACACCTCACTGGCTGTAATCATAACCCATGCAATTGGTGTACTACATTCATCACTGGCTGTAATCAGAACCCATGCATTTCGTGTACCACATTACTCACTGGCTGCAATCAGAACTGATACTGATGGAACAAGACTCACTGGCTGTAATCAGAACTGATACTGATGGAACAAGACTCACTGGCTGTAATCAGAACTGATACAATTAGTGAACTACATTACTCACTGGCTGTAATCAGAACTGATACACTTCATGTACTACATTGCTCACTGGCTGTAATCAGAACTGATACTGATGGAACAAGACTCACTGGCTGTAATCAGAACTGATACTGATGGAACAAGACTCACTGGCTGTAATCAGACCTAATACTTACCATGAAAGAGAGGACAGAATCGGTCATATATAACAGCAGGTCCCAGGGCAGCAAACTGTCCAAACGCCAGCTCCATGAACATCAGGGGAATTCCCAGTAACAATAACATCAGAATAAAGGGGAACAGGAACGCTCCTGAAAGTAAATCAATAAACATAATTATCATAGCTGTAACAGTTGATTTAACTTAGATGCAGCGGACCTCAACTCTAGGGGTGTCACAATACGCCAAGAGTGTATCACGATATATTGCAATACAGAATGAATATATTGCTATACGTATCCCAATATATTGCCATAGGAAGGATGTGCTCAATTTTATAATATGTTGTTGTCATTTGAATGTTATCAAACTTAACCATATAAAATATGGATTACATGGATTTTAGATTTTTGTCAAACCAACCATCGATTACAAAATTTGAACTATTAAAAGCCTGCTTTATGCTTATTGGCATATCTGTTAGAATTTGTATTAATTTTCAAAGTTAAAACCCAAACAGATATATGAAAATATGCATTTGAAAAATATTGCAATATTTCATCTCTGTATTGTGGTACGATACAATATACCTGTGTACTGCAATATGCCTATTTTTCCTGTATATTGTGATCATGACAGCCCTACTCAACTCACACCGACTTGTGTTATAGAATGCAGAAGACCTCAATTCACACTGACTTGTGTTATAGAATGCAGAAGACCTCAATTCACACTGACTTGTGTTATAGAATGCAGAAGACCTCAATTCACACTGACTTGTGTTATAGAATGTGAAGACCTCAACTCACACCGACTTGTGTTATAGAATGCAGAACACCTCAATTCACACCGACTTGTGTTATAGAATGCAGAAGACCTCAATTCACACTGACTTGTGTTATAGAATGCAGAAGACCTCAATTCACACTGACTTGTGTTATAGAATGCAGAAGACCTCAATTCACACTGACTTGTGTTATAGAATGCAGAAGACCTCAATTCACACTGACTTGTGTTATAGAATGCAGAAGACCTCAATTCACACTGACTTGTGTTATAGAATGCAGAAGACCTCAATTCACACTGACTTGTGTTATAGAATGCAGAAGACCTCAATTCACACTGACTTGTGTTATAGAATGCAGAAGACCTCAATTCACACTGACTTGTGTTATAGAATGCAGAAGACCTCAATTCACACTGACTTGTGTTATAGAATGCAGAAGACCTCAATTCACACTGACTTGTGTTATAGAATGCAGAAGACCTCAATTCACACTGACTTGTGTTATAGAATGCAGAAGACCTCAATTCACACTGACTTGTGTTATAGAATGCAGAAGACCTCAATTCACACTGACTTGTGTTATAGAATGCAGAAGACCTCAATTCACACTGACTTGTGTTATAGAATGCAGAAGACCTCAATTCACACTGACTTGTGTTATAGAATGCAGAAGACCTCAATTCACACTGACTTGTGTTATAGAATGCAGAAGACCTCAATTCACACTGACTTGTGTTATAGAATGCAGAAGACCTCAATTCACACTGACTTGTGTTATAGAATGCAGAAGACCTCAATTCACACTGACTTGTGTTATAGAATGCAGAAGACCTCAATTCACACTGACTTGTGTTATAGAATGCAGAAGACCTCAATTCACACTGACTTGTGTTATAGAATGCAGAAGACCTCAATTCACACTGACTTGTGTTATAGAATGCAGAAGACCTCAATTCACACTGACTTGTGTTATAGAATGCAGAAGACCTCAATTCACACTGACTTGTGTTATAGAATGCAGAAGACCTCAATTCACACTGACTTGTGTTATAGAATGCAGAAGACCTCAATTCACACTGACTTGTGTTATAGAATGCAGAAGACCTCAATTCACACTGACTTGTGTTATAGAATGCAGAAGACCTCAATTCACACTGACTTGTGTTATAGAATGCAGAAGACCTCAATTCACACTGACTTGTGTTATAGAATGCAGAAGACCTCAATTCACACTGACTTGTGTTATAGAATGCAGAAGACCTCAATTCACACTGACTTGTGTTATAGAATGCAGAAGACCTCAATTCACACTGACTTGTGTTATAGAATGCAGAAGACCTCAATTCACACTGACTTGTGTTATAGAATGCAGAAGACCTCAATTCACACTGACTTGTGTTATAGAATGCAGAAGACCTCAATTCACACTGACTTGTGTTATAGAATGCAGAAGACCTCAATTCACACTGACTTGTGTTATAGAATGCAGAAGACCTCAATTCACACTGACTTGTGTTATAGAATGCAGAAGACCTCAATTCACACTGACTTGTGTTATAGAATGCAGAAGACCTCAATTCACACTGACTTGTGTTATAGAATGCAGAAGACCTCAATTCACACTGACTTGTGTTATAGAATGCAGAAGACCTCAATTCACACTGACTTGTGTTATAGAATGCAGAAGACCTCAATTCACACTGACTTGTGTTATAGAATGCAGAAGACCTCAATTCACACTGACTTGTGTTATAGAATGCAGAAGACCTCAATTCACACTGACTTGTGTTATAGAATGCAGAAGACCTCAATTCACACTGACTTGTGTTATAGAATGCAGAAGACCTCAATTCACACTGACTTGTGTTATAGAATGCAGAAGACCTCAATTCACACTGACTTGTGTTATAGAATGCAGAAGACCTCAATTCACACTGACTTGTGTTATAGAATGCAGAAGACCTCAATTCACACTGACTTGTGTTATAGAATGCAGAAGACCTCAATTCACACTGACTTGTGTTATAGAATGCAGAAGACCTCAATTCACACTGACTTGTGTTATAGAATGCAGAAGACCTCAATTCACACTGACTTGTGTTATAGAATGCAGAAGACCTCAATTCACACTGACTTGTGTTATAGAATGCAGAAGACCTCAATTCACACTGACTTGTGTTATAGAATGCAGAAGACCTCAATTCACACTGACTTGTGTTATAGAATGCAGAAGACCTCAATTCACACTGACTTGTGTTATAGAATGCAGAAGACCTCAATTCACACTGACTTGTGTTATAGAATGCAGAAGACCTCAATTCACACTGACTTGTGTTATAGAATGCAGAAGACCTCAATTCACACTGACTTGTGTTATAGAATGCAGAAGACCTCAATTCACACTGACTTGTGTTATAGAATGCAGAAGACCTCAATTCACACTGACTTGTGTTATAGAATGCAGAAGACCTCAATTCACACTGACTTGTGTTATAGAATGCAGAAGACCTCAATTCACACTGACTTGTGTTATAGAATGCAGAAGACCTCAATTCACACTGACTTGTGTTATAGAATGCAGAAGACCTCAATTCACACTGACTTGTGTTATAGAATGCAGAAGACCTCAATTCACACTGACTTGTGTTATAGAATGCAGAAGACCTCAATTCACACTGACTTGTGTTATAGAATGCAGAAGACCTCAATTCACACTGACTTGTGTTATAGAATGCAGAAGACCTCAATTCACACTGACTTGTGTTATAGAATGCAGAAGACCTCAATTCACACTGACTTGTGTTATAGAATGCAGAAGACCTCAATTCACACTGACTTGTGTTATAGAATGCAGAAGACCTCAATTCACACTGACTTGTGTTATAGAATGCAGAAGACCTCAATTCACACTGACTTGTGTTATAGAATGCAGAAGACCTCAATTCACACTGACTTGTGTTATAGAATGCAGAAGACCTCAATTCACACTGACTTGTGTTATAGAATGCAGAAGACCTCAATTCACACTGACTTGTGTTATAGAATGCAGAAGACCTCAATTCACACTGACTTGTGTTATAGAATGCAGAAGACCTCAATTCACACTGACTTGTGTTATAGAATGCAGAAGACCTCAATTCACACTGACTTGTGTTATAGAATGCAGAAGACCTCAATTCACACTGACTTGTGTTATAGAATGCAGAAGACCTCAATTCACACTGACTTGTGTTATAGAATGCAGAAGACCTCAATTCACACTGACTTGTGTTATAGAATGCAGAAGACCTCAATTCACACTGACTTGTGTTATAGAATGCAGAAGACCTCAATTCACACTGACTTGTGTTATAGAATGCAGAAGACCTCAATTCACACTGACTTGTGTTATAGAATGCAGAAGACCTCAATTCACACTGACTTGTGTTATAGAATGCAGAAGACCTCAATTCACACTGACTTGTGTTATAGAATGCAGAAGACCTCAATTCACACTGACTTGTGTTATAGAATGCAGAAGACCTCAATTCACACTGACTTGTGTTATAGAATGCAGAAGACCTCAATTCACACTGACTTGTGTTATAGAATGCAGAAGACCTCAATTCACACTGACTTGTGTTATAGAATGCAGAAGACCTCAATTCACACTGACTTGTGTTATAGAATGCAGAAGACCTCAATTCACACTGACTTGTGTTATAGAATGCAGAAGACCTCAATTCACACTGACTTGTGTTATAGAATGCAGAAGACCTCAATTCACACTGACTTGTGTTATAGAATGCAGAAGACCTCAATTCACACTGACTTGTGTTATAGAATGCAGAAGACCTCAATTCACACTGACTTGTGTTATAGAATGCAGAAGACCTCAATTCACACTGACTTGTGTTATAGAATGCAGAAGACCTCAATTCACACTGACTTGTGTTATAGAATGCAGAAGACCTCAATTCACACTGACTTGTGTTATAGAATGCAGAAGACCTCAATTCACACTGACTTGTGTTATAGAATGCAGAAGACCTCAATTCACACTGACTTGTGTTATAGAATGCAGAAGACCTCAATTCACACTGACTTGTGTTACATGTATATAGCATGCAGAAGACTTCAACTCACACAGATTTGTGTTTTAATTTGAGATTTAAATGTCAGCAAAATGTTTGAATGAACTGTTAATTGGTACAGATAAAGGTGATCATGAGGATTTTAATTCTGGAAAGCGACATGATGTTTGTAATGGTTCCCTCATTCTTAGTCTCTCTGTTTAATTTTACTCTTTTAAAGTCTAGAATACTTCTAGCACATGTTACAGGGGGTCAGATGAGAGCATTTTTCTAGAAAGACAATGAAAATGTC